CTGTAATTCTACATTCAGCCTAATTCAACATAAACTTTGATTAAAAGTTTCAATATTATATTATATACACTTTTATCAACTCAGAAGAATGCTGTAATTCTACAATCAACCTAATAATTTGTTATAGAAACAAATTGTTATGTGCTACTTTTACTGCTAAGAAATGGTACCCTTAATACTCGACAGACAAAATCGCTTATTTATAAAAGAAAGTTCAGTGTAAAATGAAGACACTGAAGCTTCGATAAATGTAAAGTAAAAACTTACCGTGTGCGGTGACCAATGGTGAGGCCAGGTCTTCGTCTCGTGACCACTTCCAACGTTCGGTTGGCTCGCTAAAAAGACAACGCGTCTATCGGTACTTCCGGTTCCGCTACCGGTAGTAGTCAAAAGGGCGGCCCTGGCCCTCGAGCCACCGATACTGAGTGTCGGCGACGTGTCCATGTTCGCCTGGAAGCAAAACGAAAAAGTGGAAAATTGATCGCCTGTTCGTGTATATCCGAACGTGCCGGCATCCAGCGTGGAAGAAAAATTGATATTTTCATGGAAGCGAATGCACGCGTCTGCCCGGGCATAAAAGTTATTCCGTTGAATTTCAATTGCACGGGATGTTTGACCGCGGTAGCGAAACGGAATTCAAACAAATTCAACCGGTTTAATGAAGCCTGTTACAGGAATGATGAATGTTACCAAGGAATCCCGTGGCCGAGTACGTATCTTTCAACCGCGGCTCATAGCTTTGCAACGTGTCCTTATTCATTCGGTATCCTGCGAGCGCAATTTCTGGCGATATTAGAACTTTAACGCGATCTCTTTTCGGATGAAAGAAGCGAGCCATTAAAACGGCGATATTTACCCGCGATTCGAGAGGTAATTCAATGCCGGACTCATAATTTCGAAAGGAAATTTGGTCGAGAAACGGTGAAAGGGTTCAAGACGTACGAGTGGAGAACACGAGGGTCCCCGTGAAGAGATCCGACGAGCGTAATCGAGCTCGTTAACTCGAGGACGAAAGCTCATCGAGGAACGCGGGACGAGAGAAAGGGGCGCGCGGACGCGAAGGACAAGCGCGCGGAAGCAGGAAGAAGAAGCACCGTGGCGAGGAGATAGTACGTTTTTCAGCGGGATTTACGGGTCGTCGAGGGGCATTAAGGAGAATGATGCGCGACCACGACCCGAGCAGACACGCGACGCGAGCGAATCGAAGTGGTCGTAGAGCACGATGCAAAAAATAAAAGTAAAACGAACGCGTGTCGAGTAACTGGCAACGTAAAACTGACACGTACTCGTTAATTAAATCCCGTTGAATCCAGCGAGGCGCAGGTCGATCTGTAATTTACGTAGGACACTGATCTGGGATGCTCGGATGGCGATAACCTATCTTGGCTGGCAAAGTCCGTACTCAGATACGGAACATCGCGATCCCTTATCCCCGGTTCACCACACTTCAACCGGCTAATCCTCCGCGTCGCGTGCACCTAATCATTATGGCCAGAGAGGGGCGGAAGGGTGACGCTAGGTGTTCCTTAAATCGTCCCAGCTCGACGTTCGCTCCTCCTTCGTGCAATTACGAGTCATTACGACCAGGACTTCGCCGTGTACCGCGCACACACAGGACTTTTCTACCGGATACCACCGACCGTGCACCGTGTACTGCTATTTGCGGACCATCGAATATCGGACGATTCCGTACGTACGCACGACCACCAAAGATAACGATTATCGACCAACGATGTTATCGACCCCGGGATAGACCGCGTAATCGATTCGGAAGCGTGCCACCAACTTTGGATTTCAGCTCCGACTGTTCTTCCCGCCTACCCTTCGAGCAACCGGAAGCCGCAGCTTCCGTTCGATTAGAACGTTCCCGGTGCGCGAAAAGTTCACATTCAGCTGGCAGAGTTACCGGTGCTCCACCGCTAATGGGAAAATTACTATCCGTGCTCGATCCTGTTTGACAATTTATTCAAACGATTTAGAACTATTTCTCCATTTCTCAATTATTTCTCTATCGTCCATTTCCATCCGGTTATCGGTGCGTTCATCGATTCATTATCGGCGAATCATCGACGAGTCAGGGAATATCTCTGTGGCGAATTCGCGAAACGAGTTTCCGGCCTCGCGATCCATTCATGATTCACCAATGAACCATTTCCTTGACGCGAACTCGGGAACGATCGGCTGTTGCACGAGGAACTCCGTCACGGCCGGAAGTTGCCAAGCGTCGCGTACGAAATCGCGCACGACACTGAACCGTCAGGACGTCTAACGCCGGAGGTGAGCCTCTCGCGGATTCGCGGGCTCACGTGTGAAATTCTTGCGCATGCACCAACGCCTTCTCCCTTCCAATTTCTCCTCTAGCCTCCCTCCTCGCCCCTCGGCGCCCCTACCAACCCCATTCCCGTTCCTTTCTAACAGTTTCTCGTCCTTAATATCGTCTCTCTTTTCCTCGCCCGCTAAACGCTAGCCGTCCCTCTTCGCCTCGCTATCTCTTATCGCGGACTATCGCTGTTCTTTTCTCCCCGAACCATTGTACCTCCTCCTTCACCGTTATCCTCCCTAGTCTGGATAAGCTCCTCTGGCATCATGCGAGCGACAAGTATCTAGTGTTAGTCCAACTTGGCACCGAAGTTTCGCGAGTATTTAGCCGAGTGAATTCGAGCAGATTGACGAAGAACCTCGGTAAATATCGCCGGTGAACGACGCGGAAAAAATTCCTTTACGAAGGAAACGAGCTTTGACGCGATTAACGCCGTGTCAATTCCACGTAACGCGTGAAATTAAATTTTTTGTGTGGATGTAGACTCGTTCAATGCCACAAGGGAAAATTGACGCGTGTGGTCAGACATATACCGTTGTTAAATGTAGTGCATTTTGCAGTTACGGCTGTTTGGGCATTTATGATTTATTGAGGCCTGTAGAGCATGTATAAACCATGTAATCTATGAAATCTACTGTCTATAGATTATATGATTTATGTTTGTTTTATAGACCTCGATATATCAAACGTGTAAACATTCGTGATCTGATAATCGCTATTAGGAGTATGTCTGATCATTAACGTCAACTTTCACTGTACGTACTAACTACGTGTACAAAGACTTCATATGTACCGTATATCCTTCTTTTATTTATATATATTTCATATGTTAATTTATTTTGTTAATATTGTTTTAATTTTATTCTTCCTGAATGAATTAAAGTCTCGTAATGAAATAATTCTTCACAGATTATTAACAGTTCAGTGAGAGCAGATCGATACTGTGTAAGTATAATAAAACTTTAAAATCCGTATACTATAATTAAATCTTACTAAAAATTTAAATTCCGTAGTGGAACAATTGAATTAAATCTTGGAGATAACTTTGTAACTTTATATTATCTAAAGTTTACAAGCTGGTATCAAAGGGTTGAAAATCAGGGAGTTTAATAAAAACTGTGTTAAAAAATCGGTAAATTTATTTTTACCTTCCATCCTAATTCCATTATCCGAAGCGTTGCAACGAATTTGGCGTCAGTTTTAAATAATAACAGTTAATACCGATCTGATAAACCAGATTGTCACCTAAATAAGAAAATTGCGCGCAGAATGTTGCGACATTTTCTTGGCCCGTGTCGGCACGAATTTTCCCCCGCAGTTTCCCCCCATAAACTTTCTGGTTTCAGTGTTCGCGCGTCCTACGTTGCGGACCATACCTGTTTCCTTCCTTCCCCATTATCATCCGCATTTTACTTTCGACCCTCTCGAGCCCCCGCGCAGAATCGGCGTCGTCTTTCCGAGCGGCTTCATAAATTTCGCCGCGATATCGTTAATCCCCGGAGAATGTAGCCGCTGCGATGTTTTCGAAAACAAGTCCGCGCAAAAAATGGACGTAAATTCATCCGCGTACCGATACATCGTCGTTGTACGTCGTTACCAGAATTTGTTGATCCAAATCACGGAGGAAGAATGCAGTGTACCCGCGTGCACGCCACGTCGTTATTCTATCTCGTTATTATTCCGCCTCGATTCTCTCGTGCTTGTTTCGCATCGATCTCGTACTGTTCTGCTTGTACGCCCGTTAACGATTCCCAGGAAACGCGTGATCCTCTTTTCGAAATCCAGCTTGTACGTTAGCCAAACGATGCCAGACAAGTGTGCGTGTGTACCTGTTGAAGACGACAGTTTCGCGTTCTTAAGCGATCGATCCGAACGTGGTACGGGCACGTCTCACTCTGCTCGATCGATTAAATCACCGGGCAAATGGTACGCGAGTAATCGGGATCGAGGGAAGAGGGCACGGCAAGCCGATTGCGGCGGAGAACGATTCAGCCCGTGTTGAAACAATACCGTTTTGAACATTCCGATCGCTAAACGAAGAGTACGATCCTTTCCCTCTTCTTTTTCCCTCGTGTCCCTACCCTTTCTCCCACAGTGTATTCATCTTCTTACGTCCATTTCGTATTCCCCTTTCACGGCGACCCTTTGCGAGCAACAGTCGAAAAGGCAGCCACGCAAGAACAGCGGACGAATTGATCGACCGTTTCTCTCGCGTCTAAATCTGTCGGGACGAATGCGGGACTGGCACGATATCTGCATCGAACAGGAAGTAAATATCGATACGTATCGAAGCCACGGAAACGGAAGCACTTCGGCCAGATCATCGACAATGCCTTCGGGCTGCCAACGTTCTTGCATTTCGTGTACGAAATCGCGGGGGTGATCTTTCTTTCTTTCCCTTCTCTGATTGCTCGCACGGGATGCGCTTACAATCGCATACACTCGCGTCGGACGTTTCCGATTCGCGATTCATTTCCCTCGTGCGAGTCGCGCCTTCGCGCCGGAGATTCCACGAAATCCAGCTGCAACGGGATCGTTTCTCCAGACAAGATTCCAAAGTATCTCTGGTGGACGATTTTATATGGCTACATTTTACTGGCGCGATTTGTGGGTGTTGGATTCTGTCGATAGCTGCACGTTATTTAACGCCTTGTAATGTTATATTTTTACATTATAGATACATAGGATGCATACTTTTTCAATTTTTATATTGTAAACAAAATGTGTATTAGACAATGACGTGACGATGACGTGACGATAACGTGACAATCCATGATATTAGCATATAACGACACAAACGTGTAGAAGTCAAACGTCAGACCATATAATGTCTAATCATGTAACAGTGAAGACCGATTAAATAAAAAGTACTAAAATCCTAAAGCTGCAACAACGACCCACATTCTGTCGCGACGTCACTTGGTTAGCGTTAACGATCCGAGAACAACTAGTTCCATCCTCAGTGACTGAAATATCTGCCAAAGCTGGACGACCTAATAACCTTTCAATCGATCGAAGACACCGAAATATCGCAGGGTGATCTTCTCGATTTTGCGAGTCCTCCAAATAGAAAGTGCATCGACGAAACACGGAACAGACGTAAATGAAATCGTTAATTTTTTTACCACCA